CACGATAATATTACTGGTAGAGAAATCGAAGTTCAGGGAGCAGAGAACATCTACATAGTTTCGATGGATAACTGATAAGAGCTTGTTTTCTGTGGTTGTGTATCTGAAACCTTAAGACTCTCATTGGACAACAAGTCTTTAAATTGATATGGTAGAATTTTGCAATGAGCTACGTAAAGACTAATTTCTTCCGATTCATAAAGAAAATTTTACAGGGCTCTTCGGGCCTACTACTTTTAATTTCAGATTTAAAGTTTGAAATAACAAAAGTAGATTATCGAAATTCACTATTTATCACTTGATAATCCTTTTCAATGATAGAGCTAACTACTAGTACGTTTGGTTTATTAAAAATTGTTTACAAAACACTATAATGACTAATAAATAAATAACAAACTCAATAAAAAGTTCTTTATCTTCTTTTCGGAAACTTTAACTTTTAACGATGGTCATTTCCAAAGTTGATATTAGATAAAAATTATTCTATATTTCAAAGTAACTGATGTTGGAAATACGGACCACTGGATTCCGACACAGACGTTCGGCTAAATTGTGGTCCCTGAGAGTCATAACCATCTTGCGATTGAACTAGTATGAGTTGACAAGTGTTCACTTTTAATTAGACCCACAATAAAACGTGTTGGCTATTCAGTATTTGTTTCCTAAAGTAAACCATAATATTAAGTAAGTTTTTACAAAATTTAAATCAGATAAATTTATTGTATCTCATTACATCCGTTTTAAATTAATGTAAATAAATAACTAAGTTTAATAGTTAAATTCATGAGTTTATTGAAGTTAGACCACCATCGAAGACCTGGAAGCACTCCTAGGCCATTTCGTCTTATTATGAGACTCTCCAGCAATGGGCATCCACGACCCCACCTCGCAAGATTCTAATCAAAGACCTATCAGTCCTGAACCACTAAGCCGACATCTAACAGTGTTAATATCTAACTTCAACCGATCCTAAATAACAATGGGAAGATACAAGTAAAACAACACCAAGTGAATAGAAACAAATTATGTTACAAAATAAGAAATTTCATTCGTACACATTTTCTAAAATCTTCTCCAAAAACTGTCACATGGTAACAAAAAAATTATCTTTGACAACATTTCTCACTTTCAATCAAATAGTACAGTAGCTACATTGTCAATATTTTTAATCATAAACTTCTAATTAAAATCTTCAAATGTATTTATTTTACTCATGTTGTCAACTGCAACGTAATAATTATAGGGCAAAATATACAACATTGATTCATACGTGTTAATCGATGTATTTCAAGGAATGAAGTAAAGTTATACCATATGGAAAGAATATATTTAACCCTATCCTTGTTCTGAACGACATCCTATTGATATATCCTGTTTATAGATTCTAAAAAAAGACGAAAACAAGAAAGAACTGTTTAAGCTCAGTGATATGAATTTGTCTGATTCAGAGTAGTATAGTCAGTATTTCATTATTGCATCTGATAATGACAGATATGTGTTATAAGTTGATTTAAATTTGGTCATATTAATCACTGAATTTTGAATCAGTAGGTTGAAGGCATCTTATTAAGATTTTTAAGATTTGATCTTCTGTAATGTGAAGTTCTGATGATCCTCAAAGTGGAATCCAGTAACTGATCAGTAACCTCTTATTTTCAACTATTCTTCAGTCAACGTTATTGTAAAAGTAAACTGGTCTGATTATTAGCGTTTTCTCACTAGTTTTAAACGTGCTACACCAAAAAATAATGATAATAACGATTATTATTATCTCCACTATTATTGCTAATGCTGTTTTCACCATTATTATTATTATCAAACAGACAATTGTGATAATTCGTATTTTACAGGTTAGAACTTTCTCGCGCACGAGACCGTCGGTCATGGGTTCAAATCCCGCATGCGGGATCGTGGGTGCGCACTATTGAGGAGTCCCACAATAGGACGAAACGGCCGTCCGGTGCTTCCATGTTTTCAATTGTGGTCTTGTTTACACTGATTCATGAATTCAACTATTAAACGCTGTACAATCTCCATAAACCCCCTACTAATGAGAATGGAAATTATTAAAAACTGTATTATATAACTGGTCTCCAGTAAAGCCTAAAATGTTGTCATACTTCAGAAAAGTGTAATTAATGACTGAAATTAGTGGAATATTACACACTGTCTAAAGATTCCCGAAATTGAGAGAGCTATTACTTACATACTCTTTCTATTTCTAGAAAATTTAATGAAATTATTTATAAAATTTACACAGTTATTACAAAAATATCATTAAATCACTGTTCATCTAACTTGGTGAATGCTTCTTCAAAAGAAAATTAATGAGGTATAAATTGTAAATTAGTGAGTTTTACCAATACAAAAACACATGGAATAATTAACAATTATAAGAATCACGATTAGGGAGTAATAACAATTTGTAAATCTCGTCACTTTATATTAAATATTATGGTGGGCATTTTGAGCAAGTGTTTGAAATAGTCCTAGTACTGATTTACATCTAACCTGCAGGTACTTTGTGTATTTAGGTGGAGGTGCTTAGCAAAATGTATAGGGAAATCTAGAAAAGTAAAGAACATGAGAAAAATTGAACTACTTAATTCATCAGCAAATTAAGATGTATGTACATTAATTGGTGAAAATAACCTGAAACAATTCGGGATAAAGCAAATACGAGATCGAATAGTTAAGAATAAAGTTGGTAGAATGAGATTTTGAATGAATTAGCATATATATATGAATTAGCATATATATATAGAAAGCAACATATATCGATTACATTATTTATATCTTCAACCAATTCATGAACCAAATCAAAAAGAAAACTTAACTGAATCTAGAAAGATCAATATCATTATCAAACACTAACAAAATTAAAACATATTTAGAAAAATATATATTTGTACTCATTAAAAATTACCCAAAAGTTACTCATTCAGTACATCCATTATTGAAAAAATCTCCAAAGATCTGAAACAAATAAATATTGGTTGAAGATAGATGGTAACACTGTTGGATTCCGGATCAGGTTAAGCGTTCGCGTGCGAGACCGATAGATCCTGGGTTCAAATCTCATGAGGCAGAATCGTGGATGCGCACTGTTGAGGAGTCTCATACTAGTATGAAACGGCCTTGGAGTGCCTCCAGGTTCTCCATGGTGGTTTAGCTTCAACTGACTTATGAATTCAATTATTAAATATTATACAGTTTAATTTGTCTATTTCACTCAAATGAAATATTCTTCGTAATGAATAATAGGCAACCACTTTTTTAAAGTATTCACTGAAGATAAACTGACTTATTTATATGGTTTCTTGTAATCAATTATCGAAGAACACGATTATACAGCTCTTAAATAGAACTTGGTTGACAAGTGGAGTTAAACTTCTATTTAGCATGAGATTAGTGTTATCCTCTATACGAGAGAATGATGATTTCACAATATTAAAATTTATCTAAGGTCAGGAATATGACTGTTTGAAAAGTCAATTAAGTGCTTTAAATATCTGGCATATGTTGTGAGATCTGACTAGCTTAGGTTCTAGTCCTGATTGAACAATGAGGACACTTTACTAAAGAGTCATATACTAGAAAAACATAATTATTCAGTGCTTTCTGATTTTCAATGATTGTCTAACTAAAATCAGTTCACATAATGTAAACTATAGAAATCTAGATTTACTTTCTACGTAAAGATCTATGTAGATAAGGGTTAATAAACAAAGAAGAATGTCTTAAAATCCTTTCTTCAAATGATTACTTCAAGTATTCTTTCATTGGCATTATTCACTATACAATAATACTAATAAGTGAATATGATAAACGTGAAAATATGATTACAATAGGATAATCATTTAGTTAAGTTGAATGGGATTGGATTAATTCATTACTGTTCTGTCTATCAATCTATATCTGTTAGTCTCTCATTTTACCTGAATTTTTACCAATTTGATTGATTCTTTTCTAAACTGAAATGATATAGGCTAGCTAGTTGGTTACTTCTAATTATGGCCACGCAATTTAAGTAAAAAAAAATTTTGTCCAATACCAGTAATCATGAGCACAGATAGGTGATAATAATACTACACATGTAATCAAAAGTATACAGGCAAATTCAATTCAATTCACTTTTAAGCTGATAGGTTACTCTGTTTTAAGAAAAAATTTTTAAAAAAAGTTTTTGTTTCTCTTTTCACCATTCATAACAAACAAACAACTATCATATACATTATTATTATTATATTGAAAGGGGGGTTTTTGTTTTCTTTACAAACTTGAAAGATCAATAATATTTATCAACACCTACGCAATATTATCCAACAACAAAAAAAAAAAGAAAAAAATATATAGAATCAACGACTATCTAATTTCTATAATATTCAATTCTACAGTGAAGGTTTCAGACGATGCATGTCTCCATACAATAATGCAAAATTTCAATCAGGAACAATATAAGGCAATTTGTGAAATACAATAATCATCATCAATAATAATTATTTAAGGCAGCAAGTATACTTTCGAATATTTTCAACAAAATAAAAACGCCTTATTTTTTGTTTTTCTATTTTCTATATTTGTATTCAACATAATAGTGGAATCATTTTTTATCATCTTTCTTCTTCTTCTTCTTCAATTGATAATCATATAACAGATTTATACAAATGATCAGTACAAGATCAATGAGAATATTGGACAAATATACATAGATCATTTTCTACTTATATATATTCAAGTTGCTATATCAATTAAATTTTCTATGAAAGAATTCATTTATATAATATGAAAGTTGATATCCACTATATGTTATTTGTTATAATATACAAAGTTTAAATTGATCTTCTATGGAGACATATTCCTTCACTTAATTTCAACGGAAATTTATCATCAATATTATGAACATTCTTTTGAACTTATGACGTAATCAGTTTAAGAAAGTGTAACACTATTATTTAGATTGGAAAATATCTCTATTTTAATAAATATCTATTTTTACTATGTCTACTGAATTGAATCCAATTGATATGAAACAATCATCACCAACAACTGATGAATCCATGAAAGTAGATCTAATAAAAATGGATGATAATTTAAAATCAAATATTACATGTGAATTATATGATACATTAATAGATCCAGAATGTAAAAAATCTAAATTATCTGATATTTGGGAAACAAGTCATACACCTCCATTAGAATGTCAAGAATATGATTCGTTAAAAGTTGAAAAAAAAGATCTATACAAAGATATTACTACCAATGTAGATGTTGTTGTTGATGATGATGATGATGATGGTGATAATTTGAAAAAATTCCATGATACAGAAAAAACTGTATCATGTTATAGACATACAGATGATTATGAAATATATCATTCTAGTATTGAAAAAGATATTTGTACAGAATTGGATAATCCTATGTACATACCAATTAAATTACCATTGAGTAGTAATTTATATGTTCCAGTATATTATGTACAGTCGAGTGAAGAAACTTCACCTAAATTAAATAAACATAATTTGGATTTTAATGACTCAAATAATATCCATAAGGATTTTATTAATAATAATAATAATAATATCAAATCAAAGGTAAGTCATAAATATCGATTAAATTCTCATGATAACCTAAGTAAACAAGATGAATCTCAACGACTAATTAGTGATTATCATATAAATATTAATAATCAGGGATATGAAAATTGTTTATCAAAATATGATACAACTAAGCCAGAATCTAATCCTTATGATTTAGAAATATGTAATGTACAGACAGAATTAAATGAACCATTAATGAAAATAAAATATTCAGAGAAATCAAAAACTAGTAAATTGTTATTAAAACAAAAACTACATTTTATGAAGCCAAAATTAAAAATGAATATGAATAATAAAGAAAATGAAATTGTTATACCGGATAGTCAGGGAAAAATGACTGATGAAAGTCATAGAATTGAAAAAAGACAAAAAATTGGTTGTTCACCAAAACTTAAATTTAAAAAACATGAATATCGAAATAGAAAGGAAACAGAAATTATGCAACAAAATGATAAACCTGTTGAGGGAGTTATCAGTGGAAAACAATACAAAATTCCTGATCAAGATTTAAATAATCAACTTAATGAACATGTATCAATTGAAACATCAGCAACGGAAAACAAAAATGTGACAAGAAAAATGAAAATGTTACATCGAAAGAAAAATGAAGTAAAAGAAAACGAAAAACAGATTTCAAAAGGAGTACAAAACAAAGAAAGACGAATAACGGACAATAGAGCAACCAAAGAAAAAAGAACGGAAGATGAAAAACAGAAGAAACAAAATCAGAAGATAGAAACCAAGAAGAGAAAACGAATGATAAACCCATGCGTCAAATTAAATACGACAAAAGAAAATCAGCAAAAACAAATGAAGAAAACCACAGAAGAAAGAAAATCGCAACCAGATGTAAAAGTAAAAAAAGAAAAACCAGGAGAAGCAATACAAAAAGAGAAAAAACATATCGGGAGAAAAGAGTTCCATTGGTCACCTAATCTCTCATTGCCAAAGTTGAAAGTGCATGGACCAGATTTGTCTGGAAAACTTCATGCAGATGCACCTGATGTGGATGTGAATGTGACTGGTCCATCTGTGGAGATGCCATCTCTGAAAGCCAGTGGTCATTTGCCTACTGTCGATGTGTCCGTTCCCGATGCATCGTTGGGAGGTGATCTATCCGGTAAGCTCGATTTGGAGGGTGTCGGTGTGGGAGTTGTGGACGCCGATTTGAATCTGCCAGACCTACAGATCTCAGGAAATGTGAGTGCACCGTCTGTCGAGGGAGACCTATCCATGCCAGATGTTTCCGCCAATCTGGACACAGATGTGAAACTGCCCAGTGTGCAACTGACTGGTCCAGATCTCCGTGTACATGGTGAGATGCCGGATGTGGATGTGGGTGCTAAGGTGGATGTGCCGAAACCACATATTTCAATCAAGACACCGAAATTCGGGTTCGGTCTGGGCAAGAAGAAGACGAAAGTGAAGACTCCAAAGGCTGATGTGAAAGTGGAGGGTGGAGCAGGTGGGGATATAGATTTGGATGCCGGTTTGGACGCTCACTTAGATGGTAAAGCAAGAAAGGGAGGTAAGAAGTTCCATTGGTCTCCTAAGTTCGGGTTGCCGAAGGGTGGTCTGAAGATTGGTGGAGGTGCTGGTGTTGGAGTGCCGGACACCTCGGTGTCTGTCTCAGGTACGACTGGTGGTGTGGATGTGTCTCTTCCGAAACCCGAATTCGATGTCTTCATGGAGGTTCCCGACGTTGGTGTGTCCGCCTCTGTGCCCGAAATCGATGTATCAGGTGGTGAGTTGGGACTGACTGGGAAGGTTTCTGCACCCGGTGTGGATGTCAGTGTTCCGTCGAAGAAGAAGAAGTTCACCTTCGGTTGGGGCTCGAAAGACAAGAAGGCGAAGAAGGTGAAGTTGCCCACAGTGTCGGGAGACGTGGATGCTAGTTTGGATGTGGGTGGAAAGGTTGATGTTCCCAGTGTGAAGGTTGATGTGGACTCAGGTGATCGAGTCAAAGGTAAGAAGTTCCACTGGTCTCCGAATATCTCATTGCCAAAGTTGAAAGTGCATGGACCAGATTTGTCTGGAAAACTTCATGCAGATGCACCTGATGTGGATGTGAATGTGACTGGTCCATCTGTGGAGATGCCATCTCTGAAAGCCAGTGGTCATTTGCCTACTGTCGATGTGTCCGTTCCCGATGCATCGTTGGGAGGTGATCTATCCGGTAAGCTCGATTTGGAGGGTGTCGGTGTGGGAGTTGTGGACGCCGATTTGAATCTGCCAGACCTACAGATCTCAGGAAATGTGAGTGCACCGTCTGTCGAGGGAGACCTATCCATGCCAGGAGTTTTCGCCGAGCTGGACACAGAAGTGAAAACTGCCCAGTGTGCAACTGCCTGGTCCAGAGCTCCGTGTACATGGTGAGACGCCGGATGTGGATGTGGGTGCTATAGGTGGATGTGCCGAAACCACATATTTCAATCAAGACACCGAAATTCGGGTTCGGTCTGGGCAAGAAGAAGACGAAAGTGAAGACTCCAAAGGCTGATGTGAAAGTGGAGGGTGGAGCAGGTGGGGATATAGATTTGGATGCCGGTTTGGACGCTCACTTAGATGGTAAAGCAAGAAAGGGAGGTAAGAAGTTCCATTGGTCTCCTAAGTTCGGGTTGCCGAAGGGGTGGTCTGAAGATTGGTGGAGGTGCTGGTGTTGGAGTGCCGGACACCTCGGTGTCTGTCTCAGGTACGACTGGTGGTGTGGATGTGTCTCTTCCGAAACCCGAACTCGATGTCTCCATGGAGGTTCCCGACGTTGGTGTGTCCGCCTCTGTGCCCGAAATCGATGTATCAGGTGGTGAGTTGGGACTGACTGGGAAGGTTTCTGCACCCGGTGTGGATGTCAGTGTTCCGTCGAAGAAGAAGAAGTTCACCTTCGGTGGGGCTCGAAAGACAAGAAGGGCGAAGAAGGTGAAGTTGCCCACAGTGTCGGAGACGTGGATGCTAGTTTGGATGTGGGTGGAAAGGTTGATGTTCCCAGTGTGAAGGTTGATGTGGACTCAGGTGATCGAGTCAAAGGTAAGAAGTTCCACTGGTCTCCGAATATCTCATTGCCAAAGTTGAAAGTGCATGGACCAGATTTGTCTGGAAAACTTCATGCAGATGCACCTGATGTGGATGTGAATGTGACTGGTCCATCTGTGGAGATGCCATCTCTGAAAGCCAGTGGTCATTTGCCTACTGTCGATGTGTCCGTTCCCGATGCATCGTTGGGAGGTGATCTATCCGGTAAGCTCGATTTGGAGGGTGTCGGTGTGGGAGTTGTGGACGCCGATTTGAATCTGCCAGACCTACAGATCTCAGGAAATGTGAGTGCACCGTCTGTCGAGGGAGACCTATCCATGCCAGATGTTTCCGCCAATCTGGACACAGATGTGAAACTGCCCAGTGTGCAACTGACTGGTCCAGATCTCCGTGTACATGGTGAGATGCCGGATGTGGATGTGGGTGCTAAGGTGGATGTGCCGAAACCACATATTTCAATCAAGACACCGAAATTCGGGTTCGGTCTGGGCAAGAAGAAGACGAAAGTGAAGACTCCAAAGGCTGATGTGAAAGTGGAGGGTGGAGCAGGTGGGGATATAGATTTGGATGCCGGTTTGGACGCTCACTTAGATGGTAAAGCAAGAAAGGGAGGTAAGAAGTTCCATTGGTCTCCTAAGTTCGGGTTGCCGAAGGGTGGTCTGAAGATTGGTGGAGGTGCTGGTGTTGGAGTGCCGGACACCTCGGTGTCTGTCTCAGGTACGACTGGTGGTGTGGATGTGTCTCTTCCGAAACCCGAATTCGATGTCTTCATGAGGTTCCCGACGTTGGTGTGTCCGCCTCTGTGCCCGAAATCGATGTATCAGGTGGTGAGTTGGGACTGACTGGGAAGGTTTCTGCACCCGGTGTGGATGTCAGTGTTCCGTCGAAGAAGAAGAAGTTCACCTTCGGTTGGGGCTCGAAAGACAAGAAGGCGAAGAAGGTGAAGTTGCCCACAGTGTCGGGAGACGTGGATGCTAGTTTGGATGTGGGTGGAAGGTTGATGTTCCCAGTGTGAAGGTTGATGTGGACTCAGGTGATCGAGTCAAAGGTAAGAAGTTCCACTGGTCTCCGAATATCTCATTGCCAAAGTTGAAAGTGCATGGACCAGATTTGTCTGGAAAACTTCATGCAGATGCACCTGATGTGGATGTGAATGTGACTGGTCCATCTGTGGAGATGCCATCTCTGAAAGCCAGTGGTCATTTGCCTACTGTCGATGTGTCCGTTCCCGATGCATCGTTGGGAGGTGATCTATCCGGTAAGCTCGATTTGGAGGGTGTCGGTGTGGGAGTTGTGGACGCCGATTTGAATCTGCCAGACCTACAGATCTCAGGAAATGTGAGTGCACCGTCTGTCGAGGGAGACCTATCCATGCCAGATGTTTCCGCCAATCTGGACACAGATGTGAAACTGCCCAGTGTGCAACTGACTGGTCCAGATCTCCGTGTACATGGTGAGATGCCGGATGTGGATGTGGGTGCTAAGGTGGATGTGCCGAAACCACATATTTCAATCAAGACACCGAAATTCGGGTTCGGTCTGGGCAAGAAGAAGACGAAAGTGAAGACTCCAAAGGCTGATGTGAAAGTGGAGGGTGGAGCAGGTGGGGATATAGATTTGGATGCCGGTTTGGACGCTCACTTAGATGGTAAAGCAAGAAAGGGAGGTAAGAAGTTCCATTGGTCTCCTAAGTTCGGGTTGCCGAAGGGTGGTCTGAAGATTGGTGGAGGTGCTGGTGTTGGAGTGCCGGACACCTCGGTGTCTGTCTCAGGTACGACTGGTGGTGTGGATGTGTCTCTTCCGAAACCCGAACTCGATGTCTCCATGGAGGTTCCCGACGTTGGTGTGTCCGCCTCTGTGCCCGAAATCGATGTATCAGGTGGTGAGTTGGGACTGACTGGGAAGGTTTCTGCACCCGGTGTGGATGTCAGTGTTCCGTCGAAGAAGAAGAAGTTCACCTTCGGTTGGGGCTCGAAAGACAAGAAGGCGAAGAAGGTGAAGTTGCCCACAGTGTCGGGAGACGTGGATGCTAGTTTGGATGTGGGTGGAAAGGTTGATGTTCCCAGTGTGAAGGTTGATGTGGACTCAGGTGATCGAGTCAAAGGTAAGAAGTTCCACTGGTCTCCGAATATCTCATTGCCAAAGTTGAAAGTGCATGGACCAGATTTGTCTGGAAAACTTCATGCAGATGCACCTGATGTGGATGTGAATGTGACTGGTCCATCTGTGGAGATGCCATCTCTGAAAGCCAGTGGTCATTTGCCTACTGTCGATGTGTCCGTTCCCGATGCATCGTTGGGAGGTGATCTATCCGGTAAGCTCGATTTGGAGGGTGTCGGTGTGGGAGTTGTGGACGCCGATTTGAATCTGCCAGACCTACAGATCTCAGGAAATGTGAGTGCACCGTCTGTCGAGGGAGACCTATCCATGCCAGATGTTTCCGCCAATCTGGACACAGATGTGAAACTGCCCAGTGTGCAACTGACTGGTCCAGATCTCCGTGTACATGGTGAGATGCCGGATGTGGATGTGGGTGCTAAGGTGGATGTGCCGAAACCACATATTTCAATCAAGACACCGAAATTCGGGTTCGGTCTGGGCAAGAAGAAGACGAAAGTGAAGACTCCAAAGGCTGATGTGAAAGTGGAGGGTGGAGCAGGTGGGGATATAGATTTGGATGCCGGTTTGGACGCTCACTTAGATGGTAAAGCAAGAAAGGGAGGTAAGAAGTTCCATTGGTCTCCTAAGTTCGGGTTGCCGAAGGGTGGTCTGAAGATTGGTGGAGGTGCTGGTGTTGGAGTGCCGGACACCTCGGTGTCTGTCTCAGGTACGACTGGTGGTGTGGATGTGTCTCTTCCGAAACCCGAACTCGATGTCTCCATGGAGGTTCCCGACGTTGGTGTGTCCGCCTCTGTGCCCGAAATCGATGTATCAGGTGGTGAGTTGGGACTGACTGGGAAGGTTTCTGCACCCGGTGTGGATGTCAGTGTTCCGTCGAAGAAGAAGAAGTTCACCTTCGGTTGGGGCTCGAAAGACAAGAAGGCGAAGAAGGTGAAGTTGCCCACAGTGTCGGGAGACGTGGATGCTAGTTTGGATGTGGGTGGAAAGGTTGATGTTCCCAGTGTGAAGGTTGATGTGGACTCAGGTGATCGAGTCAAAGGTAAGAAGTTCCACTGGTCTCCGAATATCTCATTGCCAAAGTTGAAAGTGCATGGACCAGATTTGTCTGGAAAACTTCATGCAGATGCACCTGATGTGGATGTGAATGTGACTGGTCCATCTGTGGAGATGCCATCTCTGAAAGCCAGTGGTCATTTGCCTACTGTCGATGTGTCCGTTCCCGATGCATCGTTGGGAGGTGATCTATCCGGTAAGCTCGATTTGGAGGGTGTCGGTGTGGGAGTTGTGGACGCCGATTTGAATCTGCCAGACCTACAGATCTCAGGAAATGTGAGTGCACCGTCTGTCGAGGGAGACCTATCCATGCCAGATGTTTCCGCCAATCTGGACACAGATGTGAAACTGCCCAGTGTGCAACTGACTGGTCCAGATCTCCGTGTACATGGTGAGATGCCGGATGTGGATGTGGGTGCTAAGGTGGATGTGCCGAAACCACATATTTCAATCAAGACACCGAAATTCGGGTTCGGTCTGGGCAAGAAGAAGACGAAAGTGAAGACTCCAAAGGCTGATGTGAAAGTGGAGGGTGGAGCAGGTGGGGATATAGATTTGGATGCCGGTTTGGACGCTCACTTAGATGGTAAAGCAAGAAAGGGAGGTAAGAAGTTCCATTGGTCTCCTAAGTTCGGGTTGCCGAAGGGTGGTCTGAAGATTGGTGGAGGTGCTGGTGTTGGAGTGCCGGACACCTCGGTGTCTGTCTCAGGTACGACTGGTGGTGTGGATGTGTCTCTTCCGAAACCCGAACTCGATGTCTCCATGGAGGTTCCCGACGTTGGTGTGTCCGCCTCTGTGCCCGAAATCGATGTATCAGGTGGTGAGTTGGGACTGACTGGGAAGGTTTCTGCACCCGGTGTGGATGTCAGTGTTCCGTCGAAGAAGAAGAAGTTCACCTTCGGTTGGGGCTCGAAAGACAAGAAGGCGAAGAAGGTGAAGTTGCCCACAGTGTCGGGAGACGTGGATGCTAGTTTGGATGTGGGTGGAAAGGTTGATGTTCCCAGTGTGAAGGTTGATGTGGACTCAGGTGATCGAGTCAAAGGTAAGAAGTTCCACTGGTCTCCGAATATCTCATTGCCAAAGTTGAAAGTGCATGGACCAGATTTGTCTGGAAAACTTCATGCAGATGCACCTGATGTGGATGTGAATGTGACTGGTCCATCTGTGGAGATGCCATCTCTGAAAGCCAGTGGTCATTTGCCTACTGTCGATGTGTCCGTTCCCGATGCATCGTTGGGAGGTGATCTATCCGGTAAGCTCGATTTGGAGGGTGTCGGTGTGGGAGTTGTGGACGCCGATTTGAATCTGCCAGACCTACAGATCTCAGGAAATGTGAGTGCACCGTCTGTCGAGGGAGACCTATCCATGCCAGATGTTTCCGCCAATCTGGACACAGATGTGAAACTGCCCAGTGTGCAACTGACTGGTCCAGATCTCCGTGTACATGGTGAGATGCTGGATGTGGATGTGGGTGCTAAGGTGGATGTGCCGAAACCACATATTTCAATCAAGACACCGAAATTCGGGTTCGGTCTGGGCAAGAAGAAGACGAAAGTGAAGACTCCAAAGGCTGATGTGAAAGTGGAGGGTGGAGCAGGTGGGGATATAGATTTGGATGCCGGTTTGGACGCTCACTTAGATGGTAAAGCAAGAAAGGGAGGTAAGAAGTTCCATTGGTCTCCTAAGTTCGGGTTGCCGAAGGGTGGTCTGAAGATTGGTGGAGGTGCTGGTGTTGGAGTGCCGGACACCTCGGTGTCTGTCTCAGGTACGACTGGTGGTGTTGGATGTGTCTCTTCCGAAACCCGAACTCGATGTCTCCATGGAGGTTCCCGACGTTGGTGTGTCCGCCTCTGTGCCCGAAATCGATGTATCAGGTGGTGAGTGGGACTGACTGGGAAGGTTTCTGCACCCGGTGTGGATGTCAGTGTTCCGTCGAAGAAGAAGAAGTTCACCTTCGGTTGGGGCTCGAAAGACAAGAAGGCGAAGAAGGTGAAGTTGCCCACAGTGTCGGGAGACGTGGATGCTAGTTTGGATGTGGGTGGAAAGGTTGATGTTCCCAGTGTGAAGGTTGATGTGGACTCAGGTGATCGAGTCAAAGGTAAGAAGTTCCACTGGTCTCCGAATATCTCATTGCCAAAGTTGAAAGTGCATGGACCAGATTTGTCTGGAAAACTTCATGCAGATGCACCTGATGTGGATGTGAATGTGACTGGTCCATCTGTGGAGATGCCATCTCTGAAAGCCAGTGGTCATTTGCCTACTGTCGATGTGTCCGTTCCCGATGCATCGTTGGGAGGTGATCTATCCGGTAAGCTCGATTTGGAGGGTGTCGGTGTGGGAGTTGTGGACGCCGATTTGAATCTGCCAGACCTACAGATCTCAGGAAATGTGAGTGCACCGTCTGTCGAGGGAGACCTATCCATGCCAGATGTTCCGCCAATCTGGACACAGATGTGAAACTGACCAGTGTGCAACTGACTGGTCCAGATCTCCGTGTACAGGTGAGATGCTGGATGTGGATGTGGGTGCTAAGGTGGATGTGCCGAAACCACATATTTCAATCAAGACACCGAAATTCGGGTTCGGTCTGGGCAAGAAGAAGACGAAAGTGAAGACTCCAAAGGCTGATGTGAAAGTGGAGGGTGGAGCAGGTGGGGATATAGATTTGGATGCCGGTTTGGACGCTCACTTAGATGGTAAAGCAAGAAAGGGAGGTAAGAAGTTCCATTGGTCTCCTAAGTTCGGGTTGCCGAAGGGTGGTCTGAAGATTGGTGGAGGTGCTGGTGTTGGAGTGCCGGACACCTCGGTGTCTGTCTCAGGTACGACTGGTGGTGTGGATGTGTCTCTTCCGAAACCCGAACTCCGATGTCTCCATGGAGGTTCCCGACGTTGGTGTGTCCGCCTCTGTGCCCGAAATCGATGTATCAGGTGGTGAGTTGGGACTGACTGGGAAGGTTTCTGCACCCGGTGTGGATGTCAGTGTTCCGTCGAAGAAGAAGAAGTTCACCTTCGGTTGGGGCTCGAAAGACAAGAAGGCGAAGAAGGTGAAGTTGCCCACAGTGTCGGGAGACGTGGATGCTAGTTTGGATGGTGGGTGGAAAGGTTGATGTTCCCAGTGTGAAGGTTGATGTGGACTCAGGTGATCGAGTCAAAGGTAAGAAGTTCCACTGGTCTCCGAATATCTCATTGCCAAAGTTGAAAGTGCATGGACCAGATTTGTCTGGAAAACTTCATGCAGATGCACCTGATGTGGATGTGAATGTGACTGGTCCATCTGTGGAGATGCCATCTCTGAAAGCCAGTGGTCATTTGCCTACTGTCGATGTGTCCGTTCCCGATGCATCGTTGGGAGGTGATCTATCCGGTAAGCTCGATTTGGAGGGTGTCGGTGTGGGAGTTGTGGGACGCCGATTTGAATCTGCCAGACCTACAGATCTCAGGAAATGTGAGTGCACCGTCTGTCGAGGGAGACCTATCCATGCCAGATGTTTCCGCCAATCTGGACACAGATGTGAAACTGCCCAGTGTGCAACTGACTGGTCCAGATCTCCGTGTACATGGTGAGATGCCGGATGTGGATGTGGGTGCTAAGGTGGATGTGCCGAAACCACATATTTCAATCAAGACACCGAAATTCGGGTTCGGTCTGGCAAGAAGAAGACGAAAGTGAAGACTCCAAAGGCTGATGTGAAAGTGGAGGGTGGAGCAGGTGGGGATATAGATTTGGATGCCGGTTTGGACGCTCACTTAGATGGTAAAGCAAGAAAGGGAGGTAAGAAGTTCCATTGGTCTCCTAAGTTCGGGTTGCCGAAGGGTGGTCTGAAGATTGGTGGAGGTGCTGGTGTTGGAGTGCCGGACACCTCGGTGTCTGTCTCAGGTACGACTGGTGGTGTGGATGTGTCTCTTCCGAAACCCGAACTCGATGTCTCCATGGAGGTTCCCGACGTTGGTGTGTCCGCCTCTGTGCCCGAAATCGATGTATCAGGTGGTGAGTTGGGACTGACTGGGAAGGTTTCTGCACCCGGTGTGGATGTCAGTGTTCCGTCGAAGAAGAAGAAGTTCACCTTCGGTTGGGGCTCGAAAGACAAGAAGGCGAAGAAGGTGAAGTTGCCCACAGTGTCGGGAGACGTGGATGCTAGTTTGGATGTGGGTGGAAAGGTTGATGTTCCCAGTGTGAAGGTTGATGTGGACTCAGGTGATCGAGTCAAAGGTAAGAAGTTCCACTGGTCTCCGAATATCTCATTGCCAAAGTTGAAAGTGCATGGACCAGATTTGTCTGGAAAACTTCATGCAGATGCACCTGATGTGGATGTGAATGTGACTGGTCCATCTGTGGAGATGCATCTCTGAAAGCCAGTGGTCATTTGCCTACTGTCGATGTGTCCGTTCCCGATGCATCGTTGGGAGGTGATCTATCCGGTAAGCTCGATTTGGAGGGTGTCGGTGTGGGAGTTGTGGACGCCGATTTGAATCTGCCAGACCTACAGATCTCAGGAAATGTGAGTGCACCGTCTGTCGAGGGAGACCTATCCATGCCAGATGTTTCCGCCAATCTGGACACAGATGTGAAACTGCCCAGTGTGCAACTGACTGGTCCAGATCTCCGTGTACATGGTGAGATGCCGGATGTGGATGTGGGTGCTAAGGTGGATGTGCCGAAACCACATATTTCAATCAAGACACCGAAATTCGGGTTCGGTCTGGGCAAGAAGAAGACGAAAGTGAAGACTCCAAAGGCTGATGTGAAAGTGGAGGGTGGAGCAGGTGGGGATATAGATTTGGATGCCGGTTTGGACGCTCACTTAGATGGTAAAGCAAGAAAGGGAGGTAAGAAGTTCCATTGGTCTCCTAAGTTCGGGTTGCCGAAGGGTGGTCTGAAGATTGGTGGAGGTGCTGGTGTTGGAGTGCCGGACACCTCGGTGTCTGTCTCAGGTACGACTGGTGGTGTGGATGTGTCTCTTCCGAAACCCGAACTCGATGTCTCCATGGAGGTTCCCGACGTTGGTGTGTCCGCCTCTGTGCCCGAAATCGATGTATCAGGTGGTGAGTTGGGACTGACTGGGAAGGTTTCTGCACCCAGTGTGGATGTCAGTGTTCCGTCGAAGAAGAAGAAGTTCACCTTCGGTTGGGGCTCGAAAGACAAGAAGGCGAAGAAGGTGAAGTTGCCCACAGTGTCGGGAGACGTGGATGCTAGTTTGGATGTGGGTGGAAAGGTTGATGTTCCCAGTGTGAAGGTTGATGTGGACTCAGGTGATCGAGTCAAAGGTAGAAGTTCCACTGGTCTCCGAATATCTCATTGCCAAAGTTGAAAGTGCATGGACCAGATTTGTCTGGAAAACTTCATGCAGATGCACCTGATGTGGATGTGAATGTGACTGGTCCATCTGTGGAGATGCCATCTCTGAAAGCCAGTGGTCATTTGCCTACTGTCGATGTGTCCGTTCCCGATGCATCGTTGGGAGGTGATCTATCCGGTAAGCTCGATTTGGAGGGTGTCGGTGTGGGAGTTGTGGACGCCGATTTGAATCTGCCAGACCTACAGATCTCAGGAAATGTGAGTGCACCGTCTGTCGAGGGAGACCTATCCATGCCAGATGTTTCCGCCAATCTGGACACAGATGTGAAACTGCCCAGTGTGCAACTGACTGGTCCAGATCTCCGTGTACATGGTGAGATGCCGGATGTGGATGTGGGTGCTAAGGTGGATGTGCCGAAACCACATATTTCAATCAAGACACCGAAATTCGGGTTCGGTCTGGGCAAGAAGAAGACGAAAGTGAAGACTCCAAAGGCTGATGTGAAAGTGGAGGGTGGAGCAGGTGGGGATATAGATTTGGATGCCGGTTTGGACGCTCACTTAGATGGTAAAGCAAGAAAGGGAGGTAAGAAGTTCCATTGGTCTCCTAAGTTCGGGTTGCCGAAGGGTGGTCTGAAGATTGGTGGAGGTGCTGGTGTTGGAGTGCCGGACACCTCGGTGTCTGTCTCAGGTACGACTGGTGGTGTGGATGTGTCTCTTCCGAAACCCGAACTCGATGTCTCCATGGAGGTTCCCGACGTTGGTGTGTCCGCCTCTGTGCCCGAAATCGATGTATCAGGTGGTGAGTTGGGACTGACTGGGAAGGTTTCTGCACCCGGTGTGGATGTCAGTGTTCCGTCGAAGAAGAAGAAGTTCACCTTCGGTTGGGGCTCGAAAGACAAGAAGGCGAAGAAGGTGAAGTTGCCCACAGTGTCGGGAGACGTGGATGCTAGTTTGGATGTGGGTGGAAAGGTTGATGTTCCCAGTGTGAAGGTTGATGTGGACTCAGGTGATCGAGTCAAAGGTAAGAAGTTCCACTGGTCTCCGAATATCTCATTGCCAAAGTTGAAAGTGCATGGACCAGATTTGTCTGGAAAACTTCATGCAGATGCACCTGATGTGGATGTGAATGTGACTGGTCCATCTGTGGAGATGCCATCTCTGAAAGCCAGTGGTCATTTGCCTACTGTCGATGTGTCCGTTCCCGATGCATCGTTGGGAGGTGATCTATCCGGTAAGCTCGATTTGGAGGGTGTCGGTGTGGGAGTTGTGGACGCCGATTTGAATCTGCCAGACCTACAGATCTCAGGAAATGTGAGTGCACCGTCTGTCGAGGGAGACCTATCCATGCCAGATGTTTCCGCCAATCTGGACACAGATGTGAAACTGCCCAGTGTGCAACTGACTGGTCCAGATCTCCGTGTACATGGTGAGATGCCGGATGTGGATGTGGGTGCTAAGGTGGATGTGCCGAAACCACATATTTCAATCAAGACACCGAAATTCGGGTTCGGTCTGGGCAAGAAGAAGACGAAAGTGAAGACTCCAAAGGCTGATGTGAAAGTGGAGGGTGGAGCAGGTGGGGATATAGATTTGGATGCCGGTTTGGACGCTCACTTAGATGGTAAAGCAAGAAAGGGAGGTAAGAAGTTCCATTGGTCTCCTAAGTTCGGGTTGCCGAAGGGTGGTCTGAAGATTGGTGGAGGTGCTGGTGTTGGAGTGCCGGACACCTCGGTGTCTGTCTCAGGTACGACTGGTGGTGTGGATGTGTCTCTTCCGAAACCCGAACTCGATGTCTCCATGGAGGTTCCCGACGTTGGTGTGTCCGCCTCTGTGCCCGAAATCGATGTATCAGGTGGTGAGTTGGGACTGACTGGGAAGGTTTCTGCACCCGGTGTGGATGTCAGTGTTCCGTCGAAGAAGAAGAAGTTCACCTTCGGTTGGGGCTCGAAAGACAAGAAGGCGAAGAAGGTGAAGTTGCCCACAGTGTCGGGAGACGTGGATGCTAGTTTGGATGTGGGTGGAAAGGTTGATGTTCCCAGTGTGAAGGTTGATGTGGACTCAGGTGATCGAGTCAAAGGTAAGAAGTTCCACTGGTCTCCGAATATCTCATTGCCAAAGTTGAAAGTGCATGGACCAGATTTGTCTGGAAAACTTCATGCAGATGCACCTGATGTGGATGTGAATGTGACTGGTCCATCTGTGGAGATGCCATCTCTGAAAGCCAGTGGTCATTTGCCTACTGTCGATGTGTCCGTTCCCGATGCATCGTTGGGAGGTGATCTATCCGGTAAGCTCGATTTGGAGGGTGTCGGTGTGGGAGTTGTGGACGCCGATTTGAATCTGCCAGACCTACAGATCTCAGGAAATGTGAGTGCACCGTCTGTCGAGGGAGACCTATCCATGCCAGATGTTTCCGCCAATCTGGACACAGATGTGAAACTGCCCAGTGTGCAACTGACTGGTCCAGATCTCCGTGTACATGGTGAGATGCCGGATGTGGATGTGGGTGCTAAGGTGGATGTGCCGAAACCACATATTTCAATCAAGACACCGAAATTCGGGTTCGGTCTGGGCAAGAAGAAGACGAAAGTGAAGACTCCAAAGGCTGATGTGAAAGTGGAGGGTGGAGCAGGTGGGGATATAGATTTGGATGCCGGTTTGGACGCTCACTTAGATGGTAAAGCAAGAAAGGGAGGTAAGAAGTTCCATTGGTCTCCTAAGTTCGGGTTGCCGAAGGGTGGTCTGAAGATTGGTGGAGGTGCTGGTGTTGGAGTGCCGGACACCTCGGTGTCTGTCTCAGGTACGACTGGTGGTGTGGATGTGTCTCTTCCGAAACCCGAACTCGATGTCTCCATGGAGGTTCCCGACGTTGGTGTGTCCGCCTCTGTGCCCGAAATCGATGTATCAGGTGGTGAGTTGGGACTGACTGGGAAGGTTTCTGCACCCGGTGTGGATGTCAGTGTTCCGTCGAAGAAGAAGAAGTTCACCTTCGGTTGGGGCTCGAAAGACAAGAAGGCGAAGAAGGTGAAGTTGCCCACAGTGTCGGGAGACGTGGATGCTAGTTTGGATGTGGGTGGAAAGGTTGATGTTCCCAGTGTGAAGGTTGATGTGGACTCAGGTGATCGAGTCAAAGGTAAGAAGTTCCACTGGTCTCCGAATATCTCATTGCCAAAGTTGAAAGTGCATGGACCAGATTTGTCTGGAAAACTTCATGCAGATGCACCTGATGTGGATGTGAATGTGACTGGTCCATCTGTGGAGATGCCATCTCTGAAAGCCAGTGGTCATTTGCCTACTGTCGATGTGTCCGTTCCCGATGCATCGTTGGGAGGTGATCTATCCGGTAAGCTCGATTTGGAGGGTGTCGGTGTGGGAGTTGTGGACGCCGATTTGAATCTGCCAGACCTACAGATCTCAGGAAATGTGAGTGCACCGTCTGTCGAGGGAGACCTATCCATGCCAGATGTTTCCGCCAATCTGGACACAGATGTGAAACTGCCCAGTGTGCAACTGACTGGTCCAGATCTCCGTGTACATGGTGAGATGCCGGATGTGGATGTGGGTGCTAAGGTGGATGTGCCGAAACCACATATTTCAATCAAGACACCGAAATTCGGGTTCGGTCTGGGCAAGAAGAAGACGAAAGTGAAGACTCCAAAGGCTGATGTGAAAGTGGAGGGTGGAGCAGGTGGGGATATAGATTTGGATGCCGGTTTGGACGCTCACTTAGATGGTAAAGCAAGAAAGGGAGGTAAGAAGTTCCATTGGTCTCCTAAGTTCGGGTTGCCGAAGGGTGGTCTGAAGATTGGTGGAGGTGCTGGTGTTGGAGTGCCGGACACCTCGGTGTCTGTCTCAGGTACGACTGGTGGTGTGGATGTGTCTCTTCCGAAACCCGAACTCGATGTCTCCATGGAGGTTCCCGACGTTGGTGTGTCCGCCTCTGTGCCCGAAATCGATGTATCAGGTGGTGAGTTGGGACTGACTGGGAAGGTTTCTGCACCCGGTGTGGATGTCAGTGTTCCGTCGAAGAAGAAGAAGTTCACCTTCGGTTGGGGCTCGAAAGACAAGAAGGCGAAGAAGGTGAAGTTGCCCACAGTGTCGGGAGACGTGGATGCTAGTTTGGATGTGGGTGGAAAGGTTGATGTTCCCAGTGTGAAGGTTGATGTGGACTCAGGTGATCGAGTCAAAGGTAAGAAGTTCCACTGGTCTCCGAATATCTCATTGCCAAAGTTGAAAGTGCATGGACCAGATTTGTCTGGAAAACTTCATGCAGATGCACCTGATGTGGATGTGAATGTGACTGGTCCATCTGTGGAGATGCCATCTCTGAAAGCCAGTGGTCATTTGCCTACTGTCGATGTGTCCGTTCCCGATGCATCGTTGGGAGGTGATCTATCCGGTAAGCTCGATTTGGAGGGTGTCGGTGTGGGAGTTGTGGACGCCGATTTGAATCTGCCAGACCTACAGATCTCAGGAAATGTGAGTGCACCGTCTGTCGAGGGAGACCTATCCATGCCAGATGTTTCCGCCAATCTGGACACAGATGTGAAACTGCCCAGTGTGCAACTGACTGGTCCAGATCTCCGTGTACATGGTGAGATGCCGGATGTGGATGTGGGTGCTAAGGTGGATGTGCCGAAACCACATATTTCAATCAAGACACCGAAATTCGGGTTCGGTCTGGGCAAGAAGAAGACGAAAGTGAAGACTCCAAAGGCTGATGTGAAAGTGGAGGGTGGAGCAGGTGGGGATATAGATTTGGATGCCGGTTTGGACGCTCAGTTAGATGGTAAAGCAAGAAAGGGAGGTAAGAAGTTCCATTGGTCTCCTAAGTTCGGGTTGCCGAAGGGTGGTCTGAAGATTGGTGGAGGTGCTGGTGTTGGAGTGCCGGACACCTCGGTGTCTGTCTCAGGTACGACTGGTGGTGTGGATGTGTCTCTTCCGAAACCCGAACTCGATGTCTCCATGGAGGTTCCCGACGTTGGTGTGTCCGCCTCTGTGCCCGAAATCGATGTATCAGGTGGTGAGTTGGGACTGACTGGGAAGGTTTCTGCACCCGGTGTGGATGTCAGTGTTCCGTCGAAGAAGAAGAAGTTCACCTTCGGTTGGGGCTCGAAAGACAAGAAGGCGAAGAAGGTGAAGTTGCCCACAGTGTCGGGAGACGTGGATGCTAGTTTGGATGTGGGTGGAAAGGTTGATGTTCCCAGTGTGAAGGTTGATGTGGACTCAGGTGATCGAGTCAAAGGTAAGAAGTTCCACTGGTCTCCGAATATCTCATTGCCAAAGTTGAAAGTGCATGGACCAGATTTGTCTGGAAAACTTCATGCAGATGCACCTGATGTGGATGTGAATGTGACTGGTCCATCTGTGGAGATGCCATCTCTGAAAGCCAGTGGTCATTTGCCTACTGTCGATGTGTCCGTTCCCGATGCATCGTTGGGAGGTGATCTATCCGGTAAGCTCGATTTGGAGGGTGTCGGTGTGGGAGTTGTGGACGCCGATTTGAATCTGCCAGACCTACAGATCTCAGGAAATGTGAGTGCACCGTCTGTCGAGGGAGACCTATCCATGCCAGATGTTTCCGCCAATCTGGACACAGATGTGAAACTGCCCAGTGTGCAACTGACTGGTCCAGATCTCCGTGTACATGGTGAGATGCCGGATGTGGATGTGGGTGCTAAGGTGGATGTGCCGAAACCACATATTTCAATCAAGACACCGAAATTCGGGTTCGGTCTGGGCAAGAAGAAGACGAAAGTGAAGACTCCAAAGGCTGATGTGAAAGTGGAGGGTGGAGCAGGTGGGGATATAGATTTGGATGCCGGTTTGGACGCTCACTTAGATGGTAAAGCAAGAAAGGGAGGTAAGAAGTTCCATTGGTCTCCTAAGTTCGGGTTGCCGAAGGGTGGTCTGAAGATTGGTGGAGGTGCTGGTGTTGGAGTGCCGGACACCTCGGTGTCTGTCTCAGGTACGACTGGTGGTGTGGATGTGTCTCTTCCGAAACCCGAACTCGATGTCTCCATGGAGGTTCCCGACGTTGGTGTGTCCGCCTCTGTGCCCGAAATCGATGTATCAGGTGGTGAGTTGGGACTGACTGGGAAGGTTTCTGCACCCGGTGTGGATGTCAGTGTTCCGTCGAAGAAGAAGAAGTTCACCTTCGGTTGGGGCTCGAAAGACAAGAAGGCGAAGAAGGTGAAGTTGCCCACAGTGTCGGGAGACGTGGATGCTAGTTTGGATGTGGGTGGAAAGGTTGATGTTCCCAGTGTGAAGGTTGATGTGGACTCAGGTGATCGAGTCAAAGGTAAGAAGTTCCACTGGTCTCCGAATATCTCATTGCCAAAGTTGAAAGTGCATGGACCAGATTTGTCTGGAAAACTTCATGCAGATGCACCTGATGTGGATGTGAATGTGACTGGTCCATCTGTGGAGATGCCATCTCTGAAAGCCAGTGGTCATTTGCCTACTGTCGATGTGTCCGTTCCCGATGCATCGTTGGGAGGTGATCTATCCGGTAAGCTCGATTTGGAGGGTGTCGGTGTGGGAGTTGTGGACGCCGATTTGAATCTGCCAGACCTACAGATCTCAGGAAATGTGAGTGCACCGTCTGTCGAGGGAGACCTATCCATGCCAGATGTTTCCGCCAATCTGGACACAGATGTGAAACTGCCCAGTGTGCAACTGACTGGTCCAGATCTCCGTGTACATGGTGAGATGCCGGATGTGGATGTGGGTGCTAAGGTGGATGTGCCGAAACCACATATTTCAATCAAGACACCGAAATTCGGGTTCGGTCTGGGCAAGAAGAAGACGAAAGTGAAGACTCCAAAGGCTGATGTGAAAGTGGAGGGTGGGGCAGGTGGGGATATAGATTTGGATGCCGGTTTGGACGCTCACTTAGATGGTAAAGCAAGAAAGGGAGGTAAGAAGTTCCATTGGTCTCCTAAGTTCGGGTTGCCGAAGGGTGGTCTGAAGATTGGTGGAGGTGCTGGTGTTGGAGTGCCGGACACCTCGGTGTCTGTCTCAGGTACGACTGGTGGTGTGGATGTGTCTCTTCCGAAACCCGAACTCGATGTCTCCATGGAGGTTCCCGACGTTGGTGTGTCCGCCTCTGTGCCCGAAATCGATGTATCAGGTGGTGAGTTGGGACTGACTGGGAAGGTTTCTGCACCCGGTGTGGATGTCAGTGTTCCGTCGAAGAAGAAGAAGTTCACCTTCGGTTGGGGCTCGAAAGACAAGAAGGCGAAGAAGGTGAAGTTGCCCACAGTGTCGGGAGACGTGGATGCTAGTTTGGATGTGGGTGGAAAGGTTGATGTTCCCAGTGTGAAGGTTGATGTGGACTCAGGTGATCGAGTCAAAGGTAAGAAGTTCCACTGGTCTCCGAATATCTCATTGCCAAAGTTGAAAGTGCATGGACCAGATTTGTCTGGAAAACTTCATGCAGATGCACCTGATGTGGATGTGAATGTGACTGGTCCATCTGTGGAGATGCCATCTCTGAAAGCCAGTGGTCATTTGCCTACTGTCGATGTGTCCGTTCCCGATGCATCGTTGGGAGGTGATCTATCCGGTAAGCTCGATTTGGAGGGTGTCGGTGTGGGAGTTGTGGACGCCGATTTGAATCTGCCAGACCTACAGATCTCAGGAAATGTGAGTGCACCGTCTGTCGAGGGAGACCTATCCATGCCAGATGTTTCCGCCAATCTGGACACAGATGTGAAACTGCCCAGTGTGCAACTGACTGGTCCAGATCTCCGTGTACATGGTGAGATGCCGGATGTGGATGTGGGTGCTAAGGTGGATGTGCCGAAACCACATATTTCAATCAAGACACCGAAATTCGGGTTCGGTCTGGGCAAGAAGAAGACGAAAGTGAAGACTCCAAAGGCTGATGTGAAAGTGGAGGGTGGAGCAGGTGGGGATATAGATTTGGATGCCGGTTTGGACGCTCACTTAGATGGTAAAGCAAGAAAGGGAGGTAAGAAGTTCCATTGGTCTCCTAAGTTCGGGTTGCCGAAGGGTGGTCTGAAGATTGGTGGAGGTGCTGGTGTTGGAGTGCCGGACACCTCGGTGTCTGTCTCAGGTACGACTGGTGGTGTGGATGTGTCTCTTCCGAAACCCGAACTCGATGTCTCCATGGAGGTTCCCGACGTTGGTGTGTCCGCCTCTGTGCCCGAAATCGATGTATCAGGTGGTGAGTTGGGACTGACTGGGAAGGTTTCTGCACCCGGTGTGGATGTCAGTGTTCCGTCGAAGAAGAAGAAGTTCACCTTCGGTTGGGGCTCGAAAGACAAGAAGGCGAAGAAGGTGAAGTTGCCCACAGTGTCGGGAGACGTGGATGCTAGTTTGGATGTGGGTGGAAAGGTTGATGTTCCCAGTGTGAAGGTTGATGTGGACTCAGGTGATCGAGTCAAAGGTAAGAAGTTCCACTGGTCTCCGAATATCTCATTGCCAAAGTTGAAAGTGCATGGACCAGATTTGTCTGGAAAACTTCATGCAGATGCACCTCTTCCTAATATTCATTTAATAGACTCTGTACCTAATGTTCTTTCTTCTTCTAGTGTTTCTTCTTCTGTTCCTTGTGTTGATGTTTCCCCTGGTTACGTTCTTCCTGATTCTTGCTTATCTCCCGAATTCGTGCAATCTTATGTGCGTGATTCTGTTGTTATTGTTTCTGATTCTGGCATTATTTCCCCTGTGGTTAATTTCAGTCCTGCTGTCGTTTCTTCGCCTTCACCTTCTGATCCATTCGAATCTGTTGATTTCCTTCCTGTCGTTGAGGAACCTGTTATTTCACCATTTTCCTCACCTGAATTTTGTGAATCCAGTACTCTTCCTTCTCGAATTTCTCCTCGAAATGCTTTTCAGGATATAGATGAGAGCTTTTCATCTCCTGTTGATTCTGGTTTTAATGGTGACATTTCTAATGATGAGGCTGAAATTGATGAAATTTTTATTGTTCCCATTCAAACCGATCGTGTCCTACCGAAAGAGCAATATTTTACAGAATCACAGGACATTGTAGGTGCTGAAGCTGAAGAAGAATCGTATTCTCCAACTCAGAATTTGAATGCATCAAATGGGATAAAATCTGATGAAATTAAATTACACAGTCCATTTCATATTTTGAAATCAAAAAAACATGATAAAGATTCTGCTCATCGAGTGAAAGTCATCGATGCCAACGACCAAATCTCAACAAATACTGAAAAACTTAATGTTAATAATACTCTTTATAGCATCCCTGATGGTTCAGGACGTATTACAGTTGACAGCAAGTCTAAGAAAAAGGTGAAATCTCATCATAAGAAACCACACATATTCGGTGGTCAAATATCGACTGATGAAATTATTTCAGATACTCCCATGAAGCTGGATCATCATGGAGACTACCACGACCTAATAGGAGTATCTGTTTCTGGTCATAATGCTGATCTTGCTTTAACTCCTCGGCGTTCTCCTAGTAAACTCAGAGATCCCTCTATTCGGAAAACGTGGCATGGTGCAAGAGAACCCTATTCTGACTTTGTAGGAAGTCTCAATTCAGACCAAGATGAATACACTTTAACCGAAGATGTTTCGGTTAGTTATCTACAACCAAGGTCAACCACAAAATCTTCAAATAACAATTCATTAAACGCTTCTGACTTTCTTCGACGTAGTATAGGAAATTCAACAAAACGCCGCCCTTGGAGCACTTTAGAATATCCACCACCTGGGTGTCATTTTGTAGACGATGATTACATGTTTCCAGATGCTTTAACACCGACTAAAATTCCAAGTTTTCGAGCAAGCAAGGAAATAGTTTATGATGTTCCATATATCGACGATAAAGCCATTCCACGTTATGAACCTGAATGGCCTATAGGTGAATCAAGAAGAACTTTGATATCTCAACTCTCGCAGAATAGTGGCAGTATTGTTCGAATGACAGCTGAGGAAGAAAGCAGTCTTATATCACTTGGTAAGTTAAAGATTGAAATTATGTTGTTCTTTTTTTAATTTTAATGCTTTGATAAGGATTTTCATTTGATGATAATGAAATTATTTTAACCGGCTTGCATAAGATTACGTTCTACTTCTTGAACTATATGAGGATTAAAACTCTTAGGATTTAAGAAAAGGTAATTTCAATAAATAGATAAATTAAAAGGTGTTCAAGAGGAATATTGCTTAGAAACAGTAGTCAATCTCCCTTACAGATCTTTTTTCAGCTGTAGTCTCTTCAACTTTAAGTCTCATACCAAATTATGAAGAAATGAAGAAAATAGGATTAGCTATTATTATTATTATTATTATTATTATTATTATTATTATTATTATTATTATTATTATTATTATTAATAGTATCACAATTGTGTCAGTTACGGATAGATTTTACAGTGAGTTGAAGATGTTTAGAGAACTGATGGGATTTAGAAAGCACAAGATAGGTGTCTCCTTTTAATTTATCTTAGTAGTATACATCTCCAAACTTATGAGGGATCAAGTCCAACGTCGCTAGTTACCATAGCATACATGATACTTAGTTAGAAGTCGATGAATTCTGTTGACTATTTCAATTATTTAATGATATAGACTGATCTTAATCAGATATGATGAAATGATCGTCAAATTATACAGATTTTTCATAAAATCACTTAATTTACGCATCAATACTAGTAGATCTCAGTTGTATTAATTCATAAATCAATGTTGTTAACTGGTTCCTCATTTAAAAGTTCAAATAAATTGTGCTAGTCATAGTGCTGGAAGATCTTACTTCAATTAAAAGAAATGTCACAATATTTAGATTTTTAAATTCGTATAAGTTTACATAGATAAATGAGTTATTTCCATCACATCGTTCAGTATGTTCCAAGATGATGTACTATTTACTAAAGTAATAATTCATTTACAATAGGTAAAGCGTTGTGATTTTATTCAACTAATAATACTTAGATGGTTATATGTTCTGTTTGATTGTTGTTTCATAATCATATAATTTGATAATATTTTACTAACGGTTGAATATTTTTTTACTCCAACAATAATGAGTTCACTGGTTGAAATCATGAGTCAGTTGAAGCTAGACCACCATGGAAAACCTGGAAACACTGGACGGCTATTTCGTCCCAGTGTGGGACTCCTCAGCAGTGCGCATCCACGACCCAGGACCTACTACTCCCGCGCCAGGCGCTTAACCATCTAGACCACTGAGCCAGCATCCAATGGTGTTAATGTCTAACTTCAACCAATCCGCGAAGTTGCGCCACCGTGCATCATTGTCTTCAGTGAGTTAGTATCTCACAACAGACCTGGTTGAACTCCACTGGTAACGACTCACTGGGTCGTGGATGCGCACTGCTGAGGAGTCCCACACTAGGACGAAACGGCCGTCCAGTGCTTCCAGGTTTTCCATGGTGGTCTAGCTTCAATCGACTCATGATTTCAACCAGTGAAATTTCTAAAATCTCCACAAAACCCATTCTGATGATAATGAATTTATTTGAATTATCCTATTATTGATAGATGATATTGTGGTGTAGGAAAATTTTTGAAGACTAGTTTTTCCTAGTTGATTACAACATGTGTATACAATGCAAGCAATTCATTATTTTGGTGAATACTTCATACCTAATAACTGTTAGTCATCATGACGATATTGAAATGTTTCTAGCTATTATTATTAGTGAGAAATGACTAAGTAAATGATTCTTTTAAATTAGTCTAGCAGTCACTTAAAATCTTTCATTTGAAAATAATAACAACGTATTTTACTAGTAGTGTCTAGTCTATGTGACTAATGCATTATTGAAAGAAACCAGTCATCATTTCTAATGGATTAATAACCACATTTTTAACTGAAACACTATATCAGAAGGGGTTTTGTGGAGATTTTAGTAGTTTCAATTGTTGAGATCATGAGTCAGTTGAAGCTAGTTGAAGTTAGACATTAACACCGTTGGATGCCGTATCAATGGTCTAGTGGTTAAGTGCTCGCGCGAGAGACGAGCATGTCCTGGGTTCGAATCCTGCGAGGCGGGGTCGTGGATGCGCGCTGATGAGGACTTCCACAATGGGACGGAACGGTCGTCCAGTGCTTCCAGGTTTCCCATGGTGGTCTAGCTTCAATTGACTCATGATCTCAACAATCGGAATTACTAAAACATTATATGTTTTCAGGTCGGACATTTATTACTTTATTAAATTTCAAGAATCGACATATACCTATACTTTACTGATTAATGTTTACAAGTTGGAAACATAAGCCCATTGTTGCTTAATAAGAGAAGGATTTTATTGGGAATTTTAATGAAAGCACAAAATCGATCAATATCTGTGAACATAATAGACGATACTCTGAAATATCTAATAATCTGTACTAACTTTTAGTTCCAGTATGATCGTTAAAACTTAAATGAACTCGGATAAACTTAACAAGTGCTATGTTGGAGAAAAATCTTATCATGGATTTTAGTGCTAGCCACTATGTAAAGTATAGTTACAGTAGTCTCTGTCAATTCAACTAGTCTACTTATTTCAATCGTAGACTATTGAATTTATATTCTTAGTATACTTCATAAGCACACAGTAAAACTATTCGGTAATTCAATCTTTTGAAAAAATAAGAGAAAAGAAACTGTGAGTACATTTTGAGCTAGAGTATATAAAGCTTTAATTTAGTTTGTAATGGTTCGCATTATTTCGTTTTTTGATATTTTTAGATGAGATTTTTATCAATTGTAGTTGGGGTGTGTACATGTTATGTGGTTTACCTCTATATAACCATTATTTGACGAGTTCTTATAGAATGCATGGAATATTGCTAATAGTGGAATCCAGGATGTGTGTTTTGTGCTAATTAGGTTTCACTAGTTCAATTTACTTGTATCTCAGTGTTAATGTTCATTCCAAGATTCAAACCTAATACCTTTTGCTTCGAATGTCCAATCACGTTATCCAGTTAGGTACTGAGTTTAAATAGTCGCTAACCTATACAACTACAGAATAATTCAAATTATCACAAATTTAATTTAATTTCATACCTGTTTCACAAACTAGTAATTATCCCAGAGTGAACTTTAACACTAGGATACAAGTAAATTCAACGGATGAAACCCAAATAACACAAAACACACATCCTTTATTCCACTGTTAACTATATCTCATTTGTTCTATATGGAACTTTCTTGAATGACAGGGGATCTAGTGTGACTAATCAATGACTTATCATTCTCTTGTAATGGATAAAGAAACTAGAAAAACCGATTCCATGCTTTTTTTTGTATTATGGCACATTGTCATAAGTATGATTAAATCTCAGAGACTTTTCATATTAAATTTCTCATTTATTCTATCAATGTATGATTGGTACAAATGAAAGGCAACGGGTGTTTTCTTTTTTAGTTCATATACATAATTTAACATAGCTTATATAATTAAGCTTAGAAAGAATGCATAATATCAGGACACTATAAACCATAAATACTAATATACAATAGTTAGTTAATATATAAGTTTCTTCTTGTATTTAACAATTCATATAGAACCGGTTAATAGCCTAATTATAAAATATAAGTATGTTGCGTTAAAAAAAGTGATACTCATACTCATTTCATTATTTCATATAAGTGTTTGATGATAATATCAGTGTTTAATTTAAGATAGTTGGATAGAATCAATAGGATAGATAAAGTGTAGATCGATCTTATGATTTACAATATTTATCAACTGTTCAGATCTAACAATTCAATGATAATGTCTTTGATTTCTGCAATGAATGATATGGGTTGTAACCTGTGTGATAGTATCCAGTTTCCTTAAAGGCTATACATTTATCTTCATTATATATCTTGGTAAGTGCAGAATCTAAATTTGATACATCCAATCTGTTACGTTCATTCCTTCAAAAGAATAAAAGCGATCGTTTAGTATTACAACATATTATTGAATGACTATGTCTAACAAAACAGTCGACTATTCGACATTGGTTAGAAATTCCATGATATATTCATACAGTGTTTATCGCTATTTAAGTGATGAGATTAGTTCTTTCAATAGTATACTCACTAGTGATGATTTTGAACATCAGTAATGATAATTTTTAATTTGAAACGCATGAGTCAAATGTAAAAATCAGAATAAACATAGATATTTCAAGGCTTCGATGAATAAACCATTAACGATATATTTATTTATTTATTTGTTATTAGAAGCTTTATTCAGCATTGTATTTTTGGTACAATATAGAATGCTCAGCATAAAGTATTTCAACAAGTTTCCTTTTCTTATATCTTGATCGATTGTGACGATAAATTTTGAATGATGACCAGTTAGATGTTAGGAGTTCGCTAATCCACATTTGATTAATGTTCATTCGTTTCAATGCGTATTGCCGGCCAACTTGATGTCGCTGATTGTACCTTTTTGTATCCCGTATAGCGAAAGGTTGTAAACTTTTCATAAACGCGCCTGAACAGATTATGTGCACAATAGACATAATGATGTGCTAAAACAAACAAGAAAACAGATAACTTGATGAAATATCAAGATCGGAGGAACAGGTAGCCCAGATATTCAAGCAGGCCGCCACGTAATATATGACATAATAGATTATTTCCAATAAGATATTAATTTTGTAATTAGGTTATAGAATAATGAGAAGAAAAAAACAGAACTCAATTATTTAGAACAGGAAATAAGAGTAGAATAAGGTGAATGCATACATACGAGATTTAAAAAATCTCTTTGATGAAATATGTGTTCCTATAAGAAATCAATAAGAAAAGATCCTTTCTTTCTCCTGTTCGATAATGAATCCATTACAAATTATACGTAAAGTGATTCTCATGTAAATCAGTAAGTTTTCAATGACTGATAATATAAAATAATCTTCAGAAATTTGAATATAATTAGTAAAAGGTTATTCACAATTAATTCAACCGGATCTGTTGTGAGATAGTAACTCAGTGAAAATTATGGTGAATATGTCACCCGATTTCGTGGATTAGTTGAAGTTAGACATTAACACCACTGAATACCTGCTCAATGGTCTAAAGGTTAACGTTCGCGCGCGAGACCAATAGACCTTGTGTTCGAGTCTCGCGAGGCGGGATCATGGGAACGCACTGCTGAAGAGTCTCACGATAGGACGAAACAACCATCCAGTGTTTCCAGGTTTTCCATGGTAGTTTAGCTTCAATCGATTCATGATCTCAAATATTGAAATTACATAATTTTTGTCAACTATATGATAATAACATTGAAATAATGTCATAATTTAGTTTTGATAGATATATAAATGAAGGTTATTTTTTCTTTCATTTTTATCACATTCTATTATATAATATGATATATTTATTTATTTAGATACTAAACTCTCCGATCATCAGAATATATCCAAAAGAATAAGTCGATTTACATCACATCTATTGAAAGGTAACAAATCTTCATTGGAACAAGATGATGATGTTTCAAAATCTCGATCGAAAAGTTTAACTCGATTAAAAACATGGTGGTCTAAACGTGGTTCACCGCATAAATGAAACTTGACATCTTATAACAGTAATAATGTTATTAATCCATTTATTTCCAATTCACTTTTGTTCTAAAAAGACAACCAGAAATTGTATTGATCGAAATTTACACACAAAAATGTTTTCCCAATTTTTCAACTTTATGTCTCCTCAACTAATCACCTACTATTAATTTGCTGCATTATTCTATCAGAATAACCATCGATTCAGGTAAGTAATTATTAATTTTCATTTGTGTTATCTCTTATATTTGACTTACTCAGTTGTGAGGTCGATTTTCTGTGTTTCATTTTCGAGCCTTCCTCCCAAATTATTCGATTTAGACAACTTGGGTAGTATCACTAAACTTTGCAAGTAAATTAGCGTTACATATAGTTGAATAAAATAATGTTTATTTAGTTTCGGTGTTGTGTTAATTACGAAGCGTTGTCATAACTTGTGGTCGTGTGTCCCTATCAATATATATAACGTAATGATACCCCCAATTATAGAACAGTGATTTATCAACCGGACCAATGACGCATAAAATCCGTTTGACAAGTCTAGAGTCCTTATCGGTTCTTCATCCCGCCTAGCCCTACCTGTTAAGTCCAGAACACAAATCTCAGACTCCGCAATATCAATCATGTATTTCAAAAATATTGGCTTTATATGCAAACCAAACAGGCCACATCACATCACAAAATAGAATATAACATTTGTACAAGATCTAGCCAAAAGTGATTGTGAATGTGGGAAACTGTAATTAATAAACTGGGCGTAACTCAAGAACGGTAAATCGTATAATAATAGTTTATGAGTCAAAATAAAGCTTATGACAAGAAGAACATGAATATGCATAGTTTATCTACTTAATAATCATACAATAATTATATATGTCGTATTGTTCCATAAATAGTCCTCAAGCATTATCATTCATAATTCTCTTCTACATGTAACAACTATGACTTCATGAAGCATAACAATTACTTTGTATTGAGATTAGATGGTGGTTGGAGGTAGTCGACATGAAACCCTGAACCTAGGTGTCGTGCTAAAAATGCACTCGTCAGCAAGGTGTACCTGTAATCGTGAGGGAACTGTCGCTCCCTAGCGGATCCGACCCCGTGTCACCCAGCTTCACAGTCAGAGACGTTACCACTGAGCTATCCGGGCCGCGACTGACCTCCTGTAGGACTGAGATGTAATCACAATTGATTGATCACTGGGTGGTGATCAATGTCATGTGTGTCAATTTCTTATTTAGTACAGATCGAATGCTATCGACCATGTTGCAATGTGGCCACCAGTCTAGGTGACTCGACATTGAGGGCACTATATATTGAAATTAGATGGTAGTTGGAGGTAGTCGAAAGTAATTCATCACTTCAAGAAAACTTCATTGATCAATTAGTCTACTTATTTTTACAATGTTACATTTAATGACTATATTAATCACTTGAAAAATAAATATTGTTTTATTTTGGATGGATAGAAATAGACAGTTATCTTTCTGCCAAAATTCCTTCTTGTTCTTGTTTTCATTTGATTGGTAGATTGGGAAATAATTGATTTATTATTAAACATTTAACTTGTTCTGATTTTTTAATAAACTAGTCAATGTATTAATTAGATAAAAATGTAATATATTTCTAATCATTTTATCTGTTGAATGGTTCGTAAGTTTATTGTTCACGTCAGTAATTAGCTACAAGAAAAATTTCAATACAAATGCTAAGAGACAATATCATTGATGACGATTGGTAACAATGGTATCATATCATAGATTGATTGATGCTAGAAATATAAAATCATTTGGTATTAACTGAATAGTGTTATACTTAAATTAAGACTTGAAGTTCCCGAGTCGACATTGATGATGAGTTACAATCTAAGATCAGTTAACTACTCAGTACTTCTTGAAATGGACTGATCTTCAAGGCAAAACTAATTTCTATAAGTCGTTTATAAGTGCTTAGATCTTCCGCTGATGGTGTTAAGGATTAAATATTCGTCATTCTGTTTTGGTATATATATATATATATACTGAGTGGATTGACTTGAGATTGCCGTTAGGTAATTATCCATTTTTAACTAAGTTTGATACTGGCTAATAGGCGAATCCAGGAAGCGTATTCCGTTCTATTTGAGTCTCATTAGTTGAATGTATCTACATCTTAGTGTATATGTTCACTCAAAATCTTTCACCTATTACTTTTCTATTCAAATACCCAACACTAATTATTTGATGAACTTAATAACTAAGTGGATAGAGTATTCAATATTTAAAAAGAAAATTACTTCATTCATATTCACTAATGAACATGAACTCCTAAATAGAATGTGAAATAAGTTAACTGAATTCCACTATTACTAATTAACATCTATCTCTATTCTAACATAACTTCATATTTAATAAATAAATAAAGAAATAAACTAATAAAGAGAAACATTTACACTCAGCAATAAATTTACAGCATCATGATCTATCTTTACTTTTAATTCAAAGATCTATTATAAACAGAATCGTTAATATCAGATGGGTTTTGTGGCATTATAGTAATTTCAATGGTTAATATCATGAAGCTAGACCACCATGGAAAACCCAGATGCACTGGGCGGCCGTCTCGTCCTATTGTGGGACAACTCAGCAGTGCGTCTCCACGACCTCGCCCCCTGCGAGATTCGAATCCATGACCTACTGGTTCCCCGCGCGAGCACTTAACCACTAGACCATTGAGCCGGCATCCAACGATGTTAATGTCTAACTTCAACTAATCCACAAAATTGAGCGACACATCCACCAATGTCTTCAGTGAGCTACTATCTCACAACAGACCTGGTTGAACTCCACTGATCACTACTTCTCACTAGAACTCCAGAATATACTTCTTGAAGCCAGTCACTAGTGAGCATATGTTGATTAATATCAGATGGGTTTTTTTAGATGTTATAGTAATTTCATTGGTTAAGATCATGAGTCAATTGAAGCTAGACCACCATTGAAAAACCTGGAAACACTGGACGGTCGTTTCGTCCTATTGTGGAACTCCTCGTTAATACATTCTTTCTTTTTTTCTTTTTCTTGTATTTATCTTTTTTTTTTTAATTATATCATTAATCTTAATTTTGTAATCTATAAATTTTTTTTATTGATTAATTCTTGAATACAAAATAAATTTGTAAAGAAAAAAAACTTTTTTTTTCGGCGTATTAGAGAAATAGTTTTTATAAATTTTTTTATTTTACATAATTAATAAAGTACAAATTAAAATAGTGTAAGTATATTTATCACTTTGTGTGTATGTGTGCCTGTATGTGTGCGTGTTACCGTACAGACGTATATATATGTATGATAGGGATTTATTAGAGTTAAGTTAAATATCACGAGTACGCATAATTAATATTACCAATGTCTTTTATTGAGTAGACAGATCATGTGAAAATCGATTAATCACTTTAGTTTCTTTTTCTTTTTTTTTTTCTTTTTTTTTCTAGTATTTTATGTATGAATTATACGTGTAAAGTTAATTTAGTTAATCATTCATTCAGAAAATATTATAACGTTTAACTTGGATACAATTTTTTTTCCTTTTTTAGAAATGTCATAGACAATTTGTCATTAAATTCATTTGGTATTGTTTACTTCAATGGGAAGATTCAAGTAAACACTATCAAGTGAATTTAAACTTCACCCCCCATTATACAAGCAAATGACTAGTAGCATTCAGTATCTAAGTGAATAATGTGATGACGTTTGATGAAGTGAACGGTATTGATTTCCAGTCACAAAATGAACATTAACTCTGAGATACAGGTACATCCAAATGACGAGTCCTAAATAGGACGAAACATTTATCCTGTATTCCACTACTAGGCACTATTCATCTTTGTTAATTTGTTATTAAATTGTTCGACTCCAACACTTGAAATAAATCAGTGAGAGAATACTTTGATTATGATATTTAGTGATCAAGATCTAGATCTTGTAGATTGTATCAAATCTCTTAAGAGCACAGATGTATTATATTACTGATAAATATAGACTAGCACAAAGTTTAAGTGAATGGTCCCCCTCCTAAGAATATTTCTTATCATTTAATGGCCATATTACAACTTGATCATTGAACTTTAGACAGAATAATGAAGGATACAAGTATGTGATTACTGTTCAGTAAACAAATAGTTTATAAATTAAGTTTAAACAACTATTCCTTCTACTCGTGGAATAGTTTCGTTGGTGCATGATACAGAAATAATTAACATATCACTAACAATTTATTTCTTCAAATGTTACATGATATGAACAAATATAGAAATAGAATCAATATCATACATCGTATACAATCATCTTTGACTTTGATAATAAAAAATTCATTGTATACTTAAAAGAAACCAGTACTTTGATTAAGCATTCTTTTACATGCAGAAAACGCTATCTGGGTTCGAATCTCGCAGAGGGCGAGGTCGTGCATGCGCACTGCTGAGGAGTCCCACAATAGGACGAAACGGCCGTCCAGTGTTTCCAGGTTTCCCATGATGGTCTAGCTTCAACTGACTCATGATCTTAACCATTGAAATTACTATAATATCCACAAAACCCATCTGATATTAAATTATAAATATAGAAATAATCTCACCAAATTTTATTGAAATCGATAAACTGTTATATGTGTATAAATTTCACCGAGATTTAACGTATTACTGTTTCGAAATCTTCGTAACTTCAGATGTTAAAATCTAGATGATTTCAAACGTTTCTTCTATCAAATTAGTTCTAGATTTCTTAAGGAGATAAACAAAATTCTAATTATATATTCCTTTGAAGAAATTCAAACAAGTTGTTATGACTTTTGTTTGGTCGATTATCATATGATAAAATCGCCAATCAGAACACGACTTATACCATCTTAACAATGACTTGTTGACCGGTCTGAACAGCCTAGCATCCTTATTAATAATCCTTTCCCTGCCAAGCCCAGGATATCGAGTCCAGAACAGCAATAATAGCAGCTCCTACTGTATGAATCATATATTTCAAGTAAACTTGGTTTATATACTAGACAAACAGATCACATCATACCATAAAATAAAAAAAATAATAACAATTATACAGGATCAAGCCCAAAATTGGCTGTGATTGTGACTGTAGTTCATAAACTGGGTCTAACATGAGAATGGTAAATCGTAGAATAACAGTCTATAGGTCAAAATAAAGCTTATAATAAGAG